TGATCGTCGCTGTCTTACTGGTGCGGTTCACTAATTAGGGACATGATCTGCCTCTGTACTAGATGTAGTGAAGTATGTGAGGACTTTCAAATGTAACCATTGATTTGTTTTTTAAAGGGATACTTCAGGATTTACCATTACGCTTTGTATTAGTAGAAAACCTGTAGTATTTTCGAATTACCATGCTTTCCTCCCTCATATCCCCCTGAGACGAGAGATTTATGTACTTTTTGTTTGGATAAAATCGTCTGATGACACAAAAATCGTCATTTTGCGTCATCTGAGGATTTTTTGGCCAGAAGCTAAAGACTACAGTCAGTAGTAGGGGCTGTTTCGCATGTTTTCAACCCGCCCATAGAGGGTGGGATCTCACTCACAGAATGTACACATAGTGTCAGCCATCTTTTTTTGGAAGCTAAGCTAGCAGGCTCTTGTTCTGTGGAGAAAGCTGTGTAGTAGGGGTTACCATCCTCTTTTTCCCGGACATGTCTGGACGTCGATATCCGGGATTCAGCTTTTGCTTTCTGCAGTCGCCATTCATTGTTTACATGCACACCTTTTGTTTCAATCTAACTAAATTTATTACAATTGGTGAATCTGAATGTAGTGTTTACATGAACGCTAAAGTGATTGGTTGATGTGCGTTTTAACATTGCTAAGAAAATTCCCACTCCTCCATGAGAGATACGAGACCCGTGCGTCTCACGGGTGTTGCTCGTAATCACGCCACTGGCCTCTCGTCGTTCTCCGGCGGCCCTAGCCTCGTACTGCTCGCCACAGTAAACATAATGAATGGTGACTGTAGATCACAAAAGCCGAATCCCGGACATTTTGGGCGATTTCGAAACACATTTTCGGGCAGACTCATCATGGAGACTCACTAGTAGCCTAGACTTGTTGTTTAACGATTGCGCTCTGTTACCGTTAGGCGTGGCCTTCTAGGGCAGCGAAGCAAGTGCATTCTGGGAGTTGTTGTCTTTCATCTGCATAAGCCAAAAATACATTTTCTGGCTTTTCTTAGTCTAGAAAGTCTAGAAAATTATTTCACATTTCTTCTACATAAATTACCCATTTTAAATACACATTCATCTTTCCAGAGGTGAAGTATCCCTTTAAGAATCAATACTAAATGGTTTAAATGAAAATCATTTCTGAAAACGGTTATTTTTGCTCAGCTCTACTTGCTGCAGTGTTTTTTTTTTTTAATCTTTATGTCCTCAGTGGGGAAATTAGCTTTACGGCAAGACATACAGACAAACAACAATAAAAAATAGAAAACAATACAAGAAATAGATGTTTTAATTGTAACCTTCATACCACTGTAGTTTAGGTTCTAAGACGCAGAACCTGCCTGGCTACAGTTCTGTATTTCTATTCAGTCGGACAGTTCCGCTTGGCCTCTGTAGCCTGCTGCTTCAAGACCCCCGTGGGACGTCCCGTTTACGACCTCTTCCCTTCAGCCTGCAGTCCACTCCGCCGGGACATGCATGCACGTTCCACCTGAAACAGCCAACCATACTCTATGCATGAAATCAAAACACCTTGAGATCTTATCAATATTTATCATGTTAACCACTTTTATTTATGTACACAATTATTGTGTGTAATATCTTACTGTACTCATTTTATGTATGTTCAAGCCATTGTTGTAGTTACATGTATTGCTTATTCATCTTTCAGGATCATTAATGCATACATCATACCTTCGGTCAGCAAACTTAAACAGATGTCACAGGAACTAAGAGACACAGGCAGTTAACTTTTTCTCAGACTTTAATTGATAACAGATTGATATGTCTTACAGACATACTAGTACTGCAATATATATATATATATATATATATATATATATATATATATGAATACAGTATTTGTCAATTATTAAAACAATTATCTTTTCAATTCTCTTTTTCTGTGGTGGCATTTTGTCACACATTCAGAGCTGTGTGCCTGTCAGGACTTATGGTAAAAGTTGTCATTTGGGATATGCTCTGTACATCTGTGCTACAAAACATGATTACATGGTAAGTGGCCTGTTACAGACAATTTCCCCTGTGGGCAATAATGTACTCTTTGTCTGAAGCAGAGATGACCAAAAACAGGACCAAAAAAAAAAAATCAATATTGTGTAGAACAGCTGGACATTAATGCAGAACACATACTCACTGTCTCATATTCTGTTAGGGAGTCAGCAGGGAGGGGAACAATTCTCTAAGTTGCAATAAATGGTGTCTTGGACTGACAAAATTGTTCACAAATAACCTTTAGGGGGAATTTCTTGTTAATTCTTCCCGCATTAATCTTTAATATAAGCATTTTCCAGATGTACTGCACATAACATCTTTTATGAAAATGAAAAATCTGCCATTTACTCACATTGTTCCAAATCTGTGGAATACAAAAGGAGAATTATTCTGTTCTTTTCCATAGATTGAACGTGAATGGAGGTGAATTTTAGCAAACTGATAAAAAGTTCCATAAAACTAGTATAAATATAGTCCATATGAGTCTAGCATGTTTCTAGCTTAAAATGTTCACTTCTGTGTTGCGTTATTTTACTTACGAAACACTTATTTATCATAACTGATGCCTAAAATGAAGATTTTCAGCAAATAATGACTTAAAGGGATAGTTTACTTTGAAATAAATTTTTTATATGTTTTAGCTTACCTCAAGGGTATCCAAGATGTAGGTGTCTTTGTTTCCACAGTATTTTCAATTTTGACATTTTTGATAGACCGTTGTTGTCTATCAGTCATACACTGGAGCCTAAGGGGGTCCACCAAAAAGCATGCACAGAGATGTCAAAATTAAACATGATTTAATGACTCGTAAATGTAAGTACACATTGATGGCCTAAGACACGAAACGAGCGGTTTGTGTGAGAAAACGAACAGTATTTATATCGTTTTTACCTCTTGTAATCATAGCCATGACAAAATGATCTGACAGCACGGGCGCTTCGGTCTGCGATTGCGGCGGAAGTGATCGCTTGCGGGCCTACGTCACTCTTTGTTTATACAGAGATTTCGAAAGTTTTACCTTTCACTAAACATATTTAGATATACGGGAAACCGCAATGGAAGATGATTTCGGTATATCTAAATATGTTTAGTAAAAGGTAAAACTTACGAAATCTGCGTGTAAATATTGAGTGATGTCACACCCAAGCGATCACTTCCGGCGTAACATTGAACTGATTCAGTTCGGTTCAGTTGTACATTGCACAACTGATTCAGATCACTTGGATTATGATTACACGAGGTAAAAACAATATAAATACTGTTCGTTTTCTCACACAAACCGCCCGTTTCGTGTCTTAGGCCATCAATGTGTACTTACATTTACGAGTCATTAAATCATGTTTAATTTTGACTTCTCTGTGCATGCTTTATGATGGACCCCCTTAGGCTCCAGTGTATGACTGATAGACAACAACGCTTTGACTGAAAAATGTCAAAATTGAAAATACTGTGGAAACAAAGACACCTACATATTGGATGGCCTTGAGGTAAGCTAAAACATATCAAAAATTAATTTCAAAGTGAACTATCCCTTTAAATTTTGGTTTCATAAGGCTTTGAATATGACATACAAGGCATATGAATTCTCTGGTTCAATGGTGTCTGTTCTCATTCACTTTCATTGTATTGGAATTTTCAGTTAACGTTCTGCCTAACATTTCCTTTTGTATTCTGCAGAAGTAAATGATACAGGTTTGTAGCGACATGAGAGTGAGTACTATCCCTGGGTAAACTATAACTTTACTATCCCTTTACATGGGTGAACTATCCTTTTCATAGCATTCAACAAGGCCTTGAAGTAATCATTTGTGTGCTTGTTTGCCATCCGTGCCAAATGAGTTCCGTGTTTGGAGGAAGTCATAAAACTGCTCGAGGGTGTCCTCGATCCAAAATCAACATGAAAAAGTAGGAGTATTGAACTCTGCAGCTGCTCTACTGGGAACTATACAATGTATCCCCCCTTTTACTTAACGTGTAAAATATTCAAACACTCCATAAATACTCTGAAATCATTTTCATGTTGGAGTGTTTAATATCAGCACTGCGGTATGATGGATTGGCACCTTTATGAGGCCATATCTTGTTTATTTGATAAAGTCTGTAAAAGCCGGCTGTACGAGACAGAGATAAATGCAACGCTGCCTTGTGCTGTGACGTCAAGCTGTACTCGCTGACTAGCAGCCAGTGACGCTACGTTTATTATTTTGGCCTCTCTGAAAAATGTGGAAAATGTGTGTCTACATTTGGCCAAAGGTTTTAAATTGTTTGCAGTGACTGGAGTTGCAAAGGTCTGATTCTCGTTAACCATCGCAGGCCTCGCAAGGATTGAGGTCACGATGAAACCGTAGTATGTGCATGTGGTACAGTATGTATTGAATAACACTTAAAACTCCCAACAAATTGCTCATGAAGGTTGCTTGTTTTCCAGATTGGGCTACAGTGTTTACTTTTCCGATCTCCATTTACTTGCTGTTGGATCTGCTGCCTTTTTTTTTCTTCATTTTTATTTAACGTCTAATGTGGTTGGAAATCTTTGACTTATTGGTCAGTCTTGGTGTTGATTTACTAACAAGTGCTCAAGGGTTTGAAGTCAAACAGAAAAATACGATGGTTTTGCACTATCCTTATTGAAATATTCCAGTCAGTTTGTTCTCATCTATGTTTTGTTTTTTGTGCAGAAACTGCCTCCCTAGAATTTTGCCATTTATTTTCATATAATCAATTCAAATCAAATCAGTCCAAAATGCAATGCTCCTGAAAGGATTTATTTATTTGTTTTCTGTTGCTTTGTTCAGTTAAACATGCTATATTATGTTTTCTCTCTTGAGAGTTGAAATCAAGTTCCTTTTTGTGTGTGTGTTTTTGATTGTGCCCAGTCTAATTTCTTTTATTGTGTACATTTGATTCTGCTTTTTTTAAATATTTCAGTCATTTTGCGGTCTCACCTATGTTGTTTTCTCTGCTTTTGTTTCTCAGAAGAAGAACCTGCACCTGCTGTTGAGCGTGTTTCTTCTGGGCTTCTGGGGTATCATCCTTCTAGCTTGCCGTCTTTACTGGATGGGCAACAAACCTCCAAACTTCTCCAACTCGGACAACCCTGCAGCAGATTGTCCCTGTTTCCTGACAAGAACGCTAACGTTCTTTTTCCTCCCCGCCATGAACGTTTGGCTCCTCCTGTGCCCTGACATGCTGAGTTTTGATTGGTCAATGGATGCCCTGCCTCTTCTGAGGAGCATTACAGATTGGCGAAACCTCCACACCATTGCCTTCTACGTCTCGCTTCTGATGCTGGCGTGGTTTGGCCTTCGCCAATACCCAACCAAAAGTAAGGAGACCAACGGGAAAGCCAATCATGTAGCAAATGGGAAGTCCACGAACGGACACAGTTGTAGCTCTGATCATGAACTCTCGAGTTTTTACTCCAACTCAGTGCACGTGAATGGAACAAACGGGACTGCAAAACACTATTCGTCATCTTTACCCACCACAGAGAGTTTGGTGGTCTTCTCATTGGGTCTACTAGCCGTTCCCTTCCTGCCTGCCATCAACCTGTTCTTCTATGTGGGCTTTGTGGTGGCGGAGCGAGTACTGTACATCCCTAGTATGGGCTTCTGCCTGTTGGTAGCAGTGGGGATGAGAGCTTTATATGTTAGATTGAGGAGGAAGTCCTCCAGAACTTTGGTTCTAGGGTGCTCTGCCGCCCTGGTCCTTCTCTTTGGGATTAAGACAGTGTTGAGGAACCGTGACTGGCAGAACGAGGAGATGCTATACAAGTCAGGAATATCTGTGAACCCTGCTAAAGGTAATTTTAAGTAATTCAGGATGTTCAACATATTTTTTGCCTATTTTTTGTTCCCTATAATTATATTATTATTCAAAGATATTATATTCACCATTAGAAGCTTTCCAGATTGTTCTCTAATAATGTTTTGAATAGTATTTTTATGTTTTCTAGTTTCGTTTAAAATTTTGTTTTTTATTATGTCTATGTAGTTTTATAAGATAAAGTTCAACTAAATTAAATTACATTTTGCTCTGGCAACTAGCTGAAATTAAATAAGTTTACAGTTTTTTTTTTTTTTTTTTTTTTTTTATAGGCTATATATGTTTTATATATACGTATATTTCAATTAATGAATATTTTATTTGATGTGACAAATGTTTTTTTTTTTTTTTTGTGGTTTTAATTCGAGTTGACTAATAACCCTGCTCTATTCAGTCCATGATTTAGTTTATTCAGCCATATTGCAGTATTTAGTTCCCCAAAGTCAAGTTCTCATCCATCAACAGTACAACAACCAGGAGTTGTGTTACTTGACGATGTGAAAGTAGGATGTGTTGCGATCATTTATTTCCCCAAAATAAAAAAATAATACTATTGCAAACCAAAAATGGCAGTTGCTCATCATGAAAAGTTTGAGGTTTCCTAAGCATCTCTTCATTTATGTACTTATTTTAGAGTTCAGTAGTGAATTTCTCAAAGATTTTAATTGAAATATAAAACATTAATTGTTAAATGTTAAATGTTTTTTTTTTGTTTTGTTTTGACATTTTTATTTTTTTTTTATTTTTAGAACCCCAAATGCCTTTCAAGTGCTATTTTCCAATAACACTGAGAATATTACTTATTTTACTGTAAGCAAGATATCTAGTGCATTAGATTCATTAAAAAGTTCCTTCAGTTTATCACTCACGTTGATTTATGCATCACATTTTATTTATTGTGTGGAGAACCACTGAACTGTTAAATTGTCATCCTCTCTTATTAAATTCAAACTATAAATGACAGCCCGTTATCTTCATTTGCGAAATCTCTCAAAATTGATTATCACAATTTCATTTAAATCATTTATCAAGGCAGACTCCATCAATATGACTTTGTAATTACCTCCCCGTGATCCAATTTTACCTCCCCGTGATCTTCATGGCACAGACTGCATGGGTAGTGTCTAAGATTGCATTATTTTAATGTAATTTACTTTTCCCCCCTTGCTTGTGCAAGCATTATTCACCTTTTGTGAATTTCAATTTCTGTATCTGCAAGCACAAAACAACATTTTCATAAAATTTCACAATGTTGCACTGTAACCTAACCACAACCAAAATGCAAAATGTCTGGAGACCATTTCAAAGATTAAACCAATAGTGTAACAAATAAATTACATGCAGTTTACATATTTTGATTACCAGAAAATTTCATTTTATTTTACCCCACAGTAACAGGAATATTACATTTTAGTTGCTAAATACGTGTTTTATACAACAATGATGAAATGCCGTGGAAAGCTGTTTTTATTATTATCATTATTTACTTTTTTTTTTCATAGTGCATACTTGCGTCTCCTTTTTTTCTGAGGAAAAAAATGTAGTTTTTTAGTATTTTGTAGGTTGTTTGTCCATCGATTTCAGATGTGTCCAGACTCATTTCTTTTGTTCTATTAATTTAAATGTTTTATTCTCGTTCCTCAGCCTGGGGTAACTTGGGAAACGTCCTTAAGAACCAGGGAAAGGTGACGGAGGCCGAGCAAGCCTACAGGAACGCTCTGTACTACCGGAGGAACATGGCTGACATGTTGTATAACCTGTGAGTGAGCAAACTTCCTCCTCGCGGCAGACTCTATCGATCTGTCCTATTAAATCTCAGGAAATCTCTGAGAGGCCAGACGATGACTGTCCCCAGATTCATCAGCCTTCCAGAGGATGGTGACAGGGACCCCCTAGACACATTAACCCCCACAGTCAGGGCATTAAGGCACTCAATACATAATTCATAAACCGCACACGTTTGGGCTATTCAGTTATCCATATAAAGCAGTGGGATTGGGAATCCTTAGGCACCTCACAATTCGATTTGGCTTTAATTCAGAGAGTCGTGATGTGATTACAAAACGATCCTCGATGCATCTTAATTTTTCAACAAGCGCATACATATACCCATTTGCCTGAGACGTGACAGATTTTGCACACTCCGTCCCACTGCATGGAACGTTTTACTGCCAATTTATTTTTAAACAGCATTATATTATTCATAAGTTTAAAAAAAAAAATAATAAAAATTTTCTTCCAGCCTTCTGAAATATTATAGTTGTACAGAATCAAGGGCTAAATGTTAGTTTTTGTTCTCTGGAAGTCGATTTCATAGTTATGTACCTCAAATATCATTGAACAAATTTGGATATATATGAAGTGACAAAAAAGGAAACAAGTAATAAATAAACTAAAATGAAATTTTTCAACAAGCGCATACATACCCAATTGCCTGAGACGTGACAGATTTTGGACACTCCGTCCCACTGCATGGAACGTTTTACTGCCAATTTATTTTTAAACAGAATTATATTATTCATAACTCATAAGTAATATATATATATATTCCTCCAGCCTTCTGAAATATTAGTACAAAATCAAGGGCTTTATGTTAGTTTTTGTTCTCTGTAAGTTAATTTCATAGTTATGTACTGTATCTCAAATATCATTGAACAAATTTGGATATAAATGAAGTGACAAAAAAGGAAACGCGTAATAAATAAACCATTATAGTCAATGTTAATGAATTGTGTTGCACTATTGGGTCGTAACACCATACTTTGGAACTGTTCTTGTTTTTTTTCTTCTTCCCTTGGATCGCAGGGGTCTGTTGCTCCAGGAAAACAATAGATTCTCAGAGGCCCTCCACTACTATAAGCTGGCAATTGGGAGCAGGCCAACACTGGCTTGTAAGTACAGCTCCTCTTTTTATGAACAATTTCAAGCCTTCTCGGTCTTTACTGTGTCCAGGCAACTACAAATTGAAAGGTGTGTGTGGGTGTGTGTGTGTGAAGTCCAGCATTAAAGAAAGAATGATTATCCACATGCCTATCCACTCTTGTCAAGGAATGACAGACCTTTGATTTTAACTGAGGGAAAAAAATCAAGGCCAAAAATCCTTTCATACTATCTGGCAAATATTGATGCATTTGCTTGCCCTGTGTACAAAAGATTAGATGCATGTGCTATTTTTGTCCGTTTTAAGGTTTCTCATATAATTTCCCATGTTGTTTTTAGTGTTATGGGAGGAAATAATTGCTGCTCTGCTTAAATTGGTAGATTTGCCCAGGGAGAAAATGATCATATGTGCACTGGGGCCTTGGGATTTTTAAAGTGTTAGTTGACCCAAAATATGAAAAATCTGTCATCATTTACTCACCCTTATTTTGAAAAATGTTGGTAACCAGACAGTTGACAGTAGCCATTGACTTCCATGGTAAATCAATGACTACCGTCAACTTTTAGGTTACCAACATTCTTCAAAATATATTGGATTTTGTGTTAAACTGGCGAAAGAAAGTCATACAGGTTTGAAACAACATAATGTTGAGTAAATGATAACATAATTTTCATATTTGGGTAAACTATCACTGTAGGTTCAAGTTTTGCTTCACAAAAGGATAAGACATTTCGTGCAACATTTAAGGGTGACTTTCTGATTTCAGAATAAATGCATATCCATCAGTATTTGCTAGGGATGCACGATGATGATAAAATGATAAAAGCTTAAAATGACCATCAGATATGAAAATTACTGCCGATGAGCCTTGCCAATAGGGTGGCGTGTTTCCTATGCGTACGTGATGACTGTTAATGAAGCATGAGTGCCAGCAACTTAAACTTCCAACTAGGGGTGTGCGATAATCACAGTTTTTGATTTTGTGGATGATTAAAATGTCTCCACGATCTGCTTTTGAAGAAAGATCATAGTATCGTGCATTCTATCAGTTCAATCCTGGCGCCTTCATCTCAGCATACTGTACAACACGATGTATATCACAAATCATATCACATCACATATTACATCACAACACGCACAGAGGTAGAGTTATACTCATGGGACACTGCAATTCACAAACGTCAATTATTTGCGTCTTAGACTTTAAAAAAAGATGGATGACGCCTCTTTCGCTCCTTTCCATCAGAGAGAACTGAAGCCGCCAATGTCCCAATCATAGACAGTAAAAGAAATGGCCACAGCTACCCCATTCATTTCAACGGAGAAAATTGAAGCCTGTTAAAGTTGATAGCCAGGTGTACTGCGCAGGCTCAAACTGAGCCTGTCACATGAGCAACCTGTACATCTTCTAGTAGGTGTGCTGATTGAAATCTGAAGAATTCCCTTCCGAATCTCACAGAGACCGAGAGATTGAGTATTAGCTGTCCATGAGCTAGCAGTAGGATCAACTTAATGACTCTCTATGGGCTTCTCCCTCGACTTTAGCAGACTTTATGCCTCCACGTCCCCCCGATTGCCTGCTAGCTTCTCCTCCTGTATATACGGTAATTTCTCAACTGTGCGACGGAGAGTCGATTCGTTATGACGCAATTGTTAGCCTATTTACAAAAACTGCTTCTTCGGGGCCATTATGTAAGATACAAGGTAATGGAGCCTTTTATACATTGTCATGTTTATTTAGAAATAAATAATGGACAAATTAAGTATTTGGACGCCTCAGATGTAAAGTTATTCGCAGTCAAGGAATGGGAGTCAATGGAATGCTAACAGCAGGTGAAGTTCTGCTACAATGGCGGCTCCCGCGAGGCTTCAACTTCCGGCTGATGGATTACCCCCTTGCTTGGTCCCGATATGGCACTGACATTTTGGGAATTGAGTTTGCGCACTTGCGTTGTCGAGACCAGGCATGTGCAGTCGTGAGCAGGTAGTAATCAAGGTCCCGCCCTCACTCTCGCTGAATCAATCGCAAGCACACGCTCCTGCACTTTTCTTAAGAGGCCTCTGTCTGCTCCCTTCCTCTCGAATGATGTCTGCTGATTGCAGTACCTCGTTAAAATAAGGTAAACACAATTACTAACCACAGTCAACGTTATGAAAAAAAAGTCTGTTGATGCTTCAGTGACTACTAAGCACACAGAACCTGTCAATCACAGCTGTCAATCATGATGTTAGAGCACCATTTTTATAGCATCAAATAATTAACTAAAAACGAATTTATTTTAAAAACAAACTCTTGAAATTACATCAGCGTGGTAGAAACTACTGTAAATAACAGAAACTATCTTGGGGAAAAGGGATATGTGAAGTGTAATTTAATTTTTTAGTTGAATAACACGGGTTTATGACCTATACTAGGACCGGTCTCTAGGGGGCGATTGAGACGTTTTGCCTTCACTTTTGAGTGCTTGTGCGGCACGCTTGATTTCAGCCCGTTCTCATCCTTTAACGTCATATAGAACGTTATATGCAAAAACGGCTCTATACTACGCACATGGCACCCTTTATCGTTAATATAACACGCAAACCCAAGACGTCATAAATTCTTTAGCGTGAATATGACACGCAGACCCTACCCCACACCTAAACTTAGCCCTCACAGCACGTGTTATAATAACGATAACGGGTGCCATGTGCGTAGTATAGCGCCGTTTTTTCATATAGTGTTCTATATGATGTTAAAGGATGAGAATGCGTTGTTGATTTCCATGTGCGTCAGAGTCTTGCTAGTTAAACATGTCATTCACATGCTGATGCGCTGTTCTAACATGCGCTTTTCTGAGCGAGTAGCCTACACCCGAAACTGACAGACACCAAAAGCCTGTCTAATAGCGCCTGCGTACTGGACTAAGTTATCTTTCGAGTCTTATTGCGCTAATACTGTCAAATACACACAAGGTTTACATAAACAAAGTTGGTTCTGTCTAAAGTGAAAGCAAACAGAGAAAATCTGCTTGTCAAATGCGTGTATATTAGGAACGTCGCAGTAATAATATGCTGCCGCTTGTCCTTAAAGAGAGACTGCACACAGAAATAAAAAATATGTCACTATTTAGTCACTCTAATGTAGTTCCAAAACTGTATTAATTTCTTTCTTGTGCTTAAATATTCTATGGAAGTCACTGGAGTACAGCAACTATTTGGTTAGCCACATTCTTCCAAATAACTTTTATTTTCAATAGAATTAAAAAAATTTTGGCTTTTAAACAACTTGAGAGAGTAAATTATGACAATTAAAATTTTTGGGAGAAGTATCGTTAATAAAACAACAAAACACAAAGATGGGATCACTCACTGCTCTTTTAGAACTTTAATAGAAGCTTTAATAAGCTTGCACTTAAAAAAAAAAAAAAAAACTGTTTGAAAATATCGGCATATCGAATATCGGCCAAAATCTAATATCGTGCATCCCCTAGTATTTATCAGATAGGATTTGGGCCTTGATTTTTGTATGTATTTATTTATTTTTAACTTGAAATTTATTCTATCACTAGCTGGTGTGTAATTAGACTGGTTTGTGTGATGTCTGTAACAGTGTGAGTCGTGATGGATTGCCCCATCCTGTGATGTAAACTCATTTCTATCTGTGGTTCTGTGTGGTCTATTAAGTTAATCAGAATTGAGCTTGCAGCTGGAGTGGATAATTTCCCTGCTCATTTAGAGTTGAGTCTGGCCAGGGTGATGGTGAATATGTATTGGCACCTTATCGACTAGACTGCAGGCGGCTTATTTGCATAAATCAACTAGTTCATTCCACTAGCCCCAGTGGAGTTCTTTCTTTGAGCCTCAATAAGCCTCATTACCTTTTGCATGGATATTCACCCATTTTTCTTTCCCATGCAGCCGCCTACTTGAACACAGGAATTGTCCTGATGAACCAGGGCCGTCTAGAGGAGGCCAAGCGCACCTTTGTCACTTGTGCCGATATCCCAGATGAAAACCTGAAGGATCCTCATGCACACAAGAGCTCAGTCACCAGCTGCCTGTATAACCTGGGAAAGCTTCTTCATGAACAGGGTCACCAGGAGGTGAGCTGATTTTTGGGCAGTTAAACCCTTTAGTTTTTAAGTAGTTTTTACACCAAATCTGATCTAATGAAATGACATGAAAGTGTAAGACGTAACCCATTTTTGCACTACAATTGTAATTTATAAACCTTTTAAGTCTGAGTGTTTCTTTATGCTTATAGTTGTGGCTTTTTTGTTGAATTAATGGTGTACTCCTTTTTAGGAGGCTATATCGGTATATAAAGAAGCAATTCAGAAGATGCCCAGGCAGTTTGCCCCACAGAGCCTTTATAATATGATTGGTAAGTTTGTCTCTTTCGACTCACGAGATGACTATAATACTTCATTCTAAGTCATATATATTTTTGTAATGACTGCTGTTTATATATAAAAACTGTACAGTATGTGATTGTTGTCTATCACAGCGTACCAGTGGTATTGTTGTCTCTTGGAGGATAGTATTGTTAATAATTACACTCTCAGAAAAAAGGTACAAAAGGTGTCACTGGGGCTGTACCTTTTCAAAAGGTACACTTTTGTACCCAAAGGCTGCATATTAATACCTTAGTGGTACACATTAGCACCTAAAATGTACATATTAACACCTAAAATGTACATATTAGTACCTAAAATGTACTTAACACCTAAAATGTACATATTACCACCTAAAATAGACATAGCTCATGAAATGGACATAATTAGCACCTAAAATGTACATATTAACACTTAAAATGTACATATTAGGACCTAAAATTGACATATTAGCTCCTAAAATGGACATATTAGCACCTAAAATGTACATATTCACACTTAAAATGTACATATTACCAACTAAAATGTGCATATTAGCACCTAAAATGTAATTATTTGCACCTAAATTTTACATATTACTTAAAATGTATATATTAGCACCTAAAATGGACAAAAGTGACAGCTTTTGTACCTTTTTTTCTGAGAGTATAGTGTACAACTAGTCAGTAAGATTTAAAAAATATATATATAAAAAAAAAGTCTTTTATAATAAAAAAGTCAAATTTTATTAAGATTTAAAATAAATGTATTTTATTCATGTGACGTCAAAGCTGTTTTTTTTTTCTGTTGCAACCATTATAGTTTTTTTCCAGATTCTTTGATTAATAGAAAGTTCAAAAGAACATTTTATTTGAAATAGAAATCTTTTGTAACATTATACTTGTCTTTACTGTGACTTTTGATTCATTTAATGCGTTTTTACTTAATAAAACTTAATTTCTTAAAAAAAAAGTTTATATAATATTATTGCAGTGTCTTCCCTGGTTTCTAAGATGATTGTTTTATGTGTTGTAAGGCCTTTAAGCTAGCTACAAAATAATAAAATCCACAAGATAAGCTAGGTAAGCTGTCCACAAGATCAAAATGAATATGTTTAAACTCAAATCAATAACTCATGTCCAATCCATACACAGTATTTATTTAGTAAGCATTTGTGTGGGATAATCTACAGTCAGCAGGTCATTGTTGCAAAATAAACCCCTTCAGGGTGATACAAGTCAGTGTCAGATTTATTTTGTGATAAAGATTGACTGACTGACTGTACATTGTACCGTACATACTGTAAGTGTAACTCCATATTGTTGTTTTTTTATCTTGTCTCACAAGTCTGGGTCTGTAACTGTATCGGTGCCTTTTCTCATGAACCCATTTCCAAAGCTTTCTTTGATCTATATAGAATTGATTTTGTCAGCTTGAGTCAACAGCTTCACACACAAGATAAGTTAGACGCTTTGTACAACACAGGGAGCGTGAGAATCATTATCCCATTTTATTTAAAGCATGGGAGCAGACGGTTGGATTTTAATATCTTATGCAACATTACCAACCCACAGCTTTCCTTCCAATCCATTTTCTCACAATTGTCTCATCATAACTGTATTTTTTTCTCCTTTCCCTGTTTGTTTCTTCCCAAGCTCATTTGTTGTCACTTGTCTTTTTTTCTGTGTTCTTGTGTTAGTTTTTGCTTTTTCAGCTGTTTATTTATCTCATTTTAACAGCCAAAATTGACAGCTGTCTTCTCTGACCAACTGAGCCAAATACAACTTTACTGAGGAAATCAGATGTCAAAATGTTAAACAATCCTTTTAAATTGATAAGTAGACCAACATGTGTATGTTGGGTCAATGACAAATAAAGCTTCAAAAAAGTTTTTTTTTCTTCTATCTTTTCAAAATGGATGTACTGCATTTTCATAATGCAGTCAGGAATTATGTGATTAAAAAAATTTTTTGGTCAGGTGGTACAACCAAATATTTGTAAATATTTAATTGTGTCTACAGTGCCTAACACATTATTTTGTGGTTGTGTATTTTATTCATATCAATTTGTAATCGTTTTATAGGAAATAATATCTTTAGCATTCAAATTTACTTTAAAATACATGCAAGTAAGTCATGCAAATATGTATACATATAAATGCATTCAAAACAATAGCTATATTCAAATCAATTGTGCCACCCGACATCATTAATCATGACAGGGAATATGCTAAATACTGATTACATACAAAAATACAAATACAAGTGTTTTAGACAGTCTCAGTCTCTCTTGAAGTAGTGCAGTGGTAAATTGATCAAAAACAGAATAAATCACATGACATCATGTGACATCACGTTCGTAATCTAAAAAGACTGGTATAAGACACTGTAATCGATTGTGATTGAATAACAACAAAGTCATGTTTTATATCAATGCAAAAAGAATCCTCAGCATAAGTCAGTTAAAATATCAATAATGCACTCCTCAGAATGTTTAAGAGTTTAATGGAGCACTATAATAACTATTAAAAACGATCCCCTTTCTTTTCTTTTTGCAAGATATGCTTCTCTTGAACTGATTAGATTATGATTACTATATACATATATATATATATATATATGTATAATTCCAGTTATTTAACTTTGAGGCTGTTTTAATGACCCACATGTCCTATATTTGACACCAACTCAACACAGACTTGTATTCAGATTGGCGGGTCATGTGAAACCTCAGTGTAGTCACGTACCCTCTGCTTATGTTATTTTTTCTCTAATTACATTACATTAACAATGTTTAGGCTGTGTTATCTCAGTGAAGTAGCTGTGATTCGCTCTCTGTAATAATCTGTCTAAGAGGAGCATGTGTGTTATTGCAGATGGGTGGGAGCATGAAGCTCGCTGAGGTATTAGATGATGTTTAAAGGATTGGAGTGTGTGTTTATACTCGTGTCTTAAAGAGTCTGCTTTTACATCTGGATTTATAAGAGTCGGGTTGGCGCTAGGACATTCTGAGCTGGAGGCCAGAGAGGGCGCTGTATTTTTATAATAGTATAATACATTACTTTTTGTTTGTTTGTTTTTTTATATAGTCGTTTTTTATTAAAAGTTAACAAATCTTTTAAGTCTGTTTTTGCTTTTGATGTATTTACAATTTTTATCCTCAATCCAAAATTTATACTGAAACAAGTGTATATCTTTTTTTAATTTATTTAAAAGATTTATATTTCAAATAAATACTTAATTTTGAACTTTCTATTCATCTTGCATCGTATTAAATCCTGAAATGGATTAGAATGATTTCTGAAGGATCATGTGACACTGAAGACTGGAGTAATGATACTGAAAATTCAGCTTTGCCATCACATGAATGCATTCAATTATTTGGCAATATTACTGTTTTATTCTATTTTTGAGCAAATAAATGCAGCCTGGGTTAGGATGAGAGACTTCTTTCAAAAACATAAAAAAAAAAAAAAATCCAAAAGGCCATCGGCAGGATTATTTTTGAGGCCTCATGCCTTTTAATTATTATTTTTTTTAAATATCCCGTGGATATTTAAAAATTGGTTAATATAAATAATCTAATGTAATCTTATAAATAATTGAAGGTCTGTTGGTTTCACTCAATGCTCATTTCACATAAACGAAAGAAGGCTCCAGTATCACATTTCAGATGATTTGTGGGTCATTTTCAGTTGCCTGGCTCTATTTTTGCTATGGGATAAACCATGGTGAGGGGGGGTTGTTATGTGCTTCCTTAACTTTTGACATGTTGACCTGACCCCTGTCTCCTCCCCTCATAGGAGAGGCCTACATGAGGCTGAACAAATTGACAGAGGCAGAACACTGGTATAAGGAATCTCTCCGATCCAAGCCGGACCATATACCTGCACACCTCACTTACGGCAAGCTCCTGGCTATGACGGTAAACTCGCTCTCCAATGAACACTAATAATTTGAATTTTGAATTGTTTATTGATCCAACAATCAGCTATCTCATATTCATTTGAGTGCTGTTCTTCCTGTGGTCAAAAATCACTATTACATATCATTTTTTTACAAAATAAACATACATTCATACAACAAACTAACCATAAACCATACAACAAACATCCATAAACAAAAACATTTAGTAGAAGATGAACTAAAGAACTAAGAGCCCACTTATGCTTAGGTCACAATCTTTCACTTACAGAACACATTCTTTAACAAAACAGAAAAAAATAAATAAAAAAATAAGAAATCATATACAAACTTGAGTAAATAAATACAATTTCAGTTTAACTGTTTTTGTTAACTGTTTCAGTTTAACTGAAATTGTGGGTGGTTAGTTGTTAAAGAGGCCATATTATGCTCTTTTACTATGTCAATTGTTTTTGGGATCTATAAGAATTTTCGCGAATGTTCAAAAAACACATTGTTTTTCACATTTTACGCTCTCTTCCCACTCTGTCAGTAACACTCTGTTAAGTACCTTTCTCAGAAGCCCCTCCTTCTGAAAAGTACAATGTGATCTGATTGGTCGGCTGGACCAGTGTTTTGTGATTGGTCAACCACTTCAGGTGTGTTTCGCAATCCCTTATTATACTATAACCGCAAGTTTTAGCTTACACTACACTAAAACAACTCAACCAGGCCTTACCCGTCTTCAGAAACAGGACTGTTTTTGACCATATAACAAAAGTCAAAAGGTTCCTAAACAACATTGGACCTCTTTCATTTTACAGACTAAAAACACTGAGACACCAGATAAATTACCTATTAGTAACTCTGTTAACGTCCTTATCTGAAAGTCAAAATTCTCTCATTAAACGTTAAATACCCTTTAGAAATAATGTAGCTTGAGCACACATTGGCAAAATTATTATATAAAGAAACCTTTTTCATCCATAAATCTAAACCGAGAAGTCATGACTTAAAACCAAAGGCATTATTTCTTTCTCTCTGATCTTAAAATTTAGAACTGAAAAACTAGCTAAATCTAGCTAAAAAAAACAGAAGACCGGATTACTCGCACATATGCCCTGGTTCTGAATTCACTCAGCAGAAATCCGTGTGGACAGATAAGAGAGAAGATGTGTTAAAAAAAGGTTGAGGGGAGACGATTGCTCTGAGAGTGTACCTGTGTCTGTCTCCTTTCATTTCCACTCTGGAACTCTTCCATATGGTCCTCTTCGGGCCTTTTTCTTCCACGAGGCCACCACCAGCTGATTATGTAAAGAAAATACAGGCTGTCTTAATTTAGCATCTTTGAAAGCTCAGCAAGACAGTACAAGGAAAGCAGTGTGCTTTTGAAAGAGGGATTGTTCTGACGGGTTCTAGCAGAAATGGAGCTTCTTATTAAGCTACTATGGCAAGAAAATCAAATGAGAAATGTGATGGAATCTCCACTACTTAGCGGTGTTGTGTAAAGTCAACATACTTACAGGTTCCTGTTCTCATTGTGAATGATTCATCTTTGCATGCTATTATAAAGATAAAAGTTATTTTTGGAATCGCACTGTGAAATAGCAGTTGAACATGTTCCAGGCATGTTAAGCTGTCGTGCTCATTTTGGAAATTTTGGTTCATATCAGGTGTGTGTTGTGTCCATAAGGGATCCCTCTCTACATTTTTCCTGTCTTCTGTCATCTTTCATTAAAATGAGACAAAAAGGCTGACGCTGTAGCCAAAATGTCTATATACTTTATTGAAAACAATAGCAGGAGCAGAATTTGTTCTCATATACGCGCTGAATGAAAGTATTTATTTGTTTAAAGTATTAGTAAGTATTAGTAATATATATATATATATATATATATATATATGTGTGTGTGTGTGTGTGTGTTTATTTATTTTTTTTTTTTTTTTGCTGGTACCATAACTGACTTTTCAAATGTGGGTAAAATTTGAAACACTTTTGGCTGAAGTTATTTTTTATAAAACTATGAACAGTTTAGATTGACCAAACCTTTCTGTCAGTTACATCATTTCACACAGCCAAGAATAAATTGTGTGATCAAAGGGTTTTGTCTTTCTGCCCCTGCCCCCCCCCCCTCTCTCTCTCTCTCTCTCTCTCTCTCTCTCTCTCTCTCTGACATTCCTTTCTCTTTTAGTTGACGTCAAGACACAAAATAGGGACTCACACTAAAGACCTACACTCCTGCCAGACCCGACGCAATGCATTTGATGAGCAAGTGGGGATGCGGGCATTAAGACATTCGGATTGCGCGGATTGCGAGAGATTAAATTGATTTATTTTATTTTTATTTATTTTTTTGCTGTTGTTTGCAGTTTCTATCACAAAAATTATTGTTTGGATCATATTATGGTTTTTGAATCACAGACTGGATACATTTTCTGATCATCCAGAAAAAAAAAATAGGCGGGGTTAATGTAACTTCGCTTTACATTTATTACTTTAAGCCCACAAAAATCAAGTTTTTAATAAATGAACAATATGAAAGTGTTCAGTGCTGAGTTCTGTACACTCGCAAATCCTCATGCTTATGAGAGATTAATTGTTCAGTCAGCTTCATTGATTATAACGAAACTTTAGATTAATTTAGGTTAGATTAACAAAAATGAGTGACAGATTTTTAGTAATTTTTGAATGTTGATTTTTTTTTTTAATAACAAATAATATATCAGAAGCGTTTATACTGGGGTAGGTAGTTGCTATGTGGCCTGACTTGAAACTATTTAATGGAAATTTAATGGACGTACTGAAAAAAAAAAATCTACTTTTACATTTGGGCTTATGTGGACGTGAGCGGAACAAAACATTCATTTTGCAGATGGGAGTGGGAGAAGGTAACATTTTTGCGGGAGCTTGGCTGAAAAATCTGTCCTGGCCAGAACAAAGTCAGTCCACCAAAGACATAGTCAATCGATCACAGAACCACACTGCTGTGATGAAACTCACTCAAGTGAAAGCAGATTCAAAAGGTTTTGTCTTGACTTCAGAGCCGTATTGATTTTTAACCATGTTTTCGGATCAAAGCTTTCAGGTCCTTGTGTTTTCTGCTTGCTTTGTGCTGACGATTTCTGCTACCTTGTTGAAAAATGCTATCGTAGCGTGAATCGATCGCAGAGAATGTTGATTAATATTATGTGAAATATAATTAAAATACAATTTGTAAAAAAAATATTTTCATGATTAGTAATCACAACATTTTTTCTTTTGTCAAATCAACTTAAATAACTTTACTCAACTTTATTTAGTTCAGATAACATATAATTTTGAGTTTCTGATGATTAAATCATTCTCCTTCATTGTATTAACTCACTTTTTCCAGTTCAATGAACTTAAAATTTTAAGGCAACCAGGTTACTTACTTTTTTAAGTTAAACCATTCTGTAGACTACTGTTTATATTTTTAAAACGTTGTGAAAGAATACAAATTATCATCAAATATTCATCTTTGACTTGTCAAAGCACACCTTTCCTTAGTAACTGAAATTTTCAGTTATTCTTGTTCAGCTGGTTGACCGTACAAATATTCATATGGTAGTTAGCCTTTTTTTTTAAAGGGAAATTACATTATAACACATGAAAATGTACCTTTTGTTAAACATGCGCACATGCGCATAACCAGTAAGTAGCAAATCTCGATGGGTAGCATGAATCGTCAGAACATGCTTAATGCAGAAGCTGAGGAAAACATGAGTGGCCTTAAACAAACTCGTATGGCAATACATTCAGTATTTGTAAACAAAATGTATTATTATCCGGGCTGTCAATTGAATACAATTAAGAATTGGTTTAACTATATCGTATGCAAATTAATCAAATGAAATGCACATTTACGTATTAACGTATTTCATGCTTGGATTGCTCTGATGATAGAAAAATTTCCTATTAATACACTTGCAATTAATTAGAAGGCATGATTAATTGCTTTCATTTATAGATTTTTTTAATGAATTACACTGAATTAAAACATTTAATTGGCAGCCTTATAATTATAAAAACCCTTTAAACAAAGCTGAATTTTCAGCACCAATACACCAGTCTTCAGTGTCACATGATCCTTTAGAAATCATTATAATGTGTGGATTTGGTGCTCAAGAAACATTTCTTATCAATGCTGAAAACGGTGCGGTGCTTTTTGTAAAAAAAAAATATATATATATATATATATATATATATATTTATATATGGAATGTTCGAAATGTTCAAAAGAACAGCGTTTATTTGAAATCGATTATTTTTGCAATAGTGTAAAAGTGTTCACTGTCACTCTTGTCAGTCTTCTTAATGTCATTAATGAATGTAAAATAAATGTACATTAACTATGAGGAATTGTTCATGCAGTCACCATCATTGTCCCCAGGCATCAGTTCCTGGAGGGGACAGGGAAATCTTCACGGGCAGGGGTTGAAAGGAGGAGACATAATGGAGCTCAGTCCTTTCCCAGTTGTGCTGACCTTCCCTGACCTCCATTCACAAACTTGTGTGTGTGTGTGTGTGTGTGTGTGTGCGTGTGTGTGTGTGTGTGTGTGTGTGTGTGTGTGTGTGTGTGTGTGTGCGTGTGTGTGTGTGTGTGTTGAGTGCTTCAGCTGCATTATTGAATTCTCTCATTTCCGTCGCTAATCAAGCTCAGAATCCGTTGGAGAACACCTCTGAGACATTGGAACAGCAGTGTGTCTGTTGTCTCTCTGATGTCATGCTCAGATTAAGGGGTCGGGGGTCCAGCAGAGAGGGGGAGGGGGTGTGTGTTCAGAGGAAAGGGGAGTGAAGCAGGATATTGCTTTAGAGTGATAACATGACCTCGGTGAATGACACTGACATGCGTTTGTCAGGAACTCGACGAAGCTTATCTTGATGCATGTCCTTACTTATTTAAATAAGGACATGCATATTTTTCATATGAATCAAAACCCAAATATAATATATATGTAGGCTATATACTCCAAAATATGTATTTGAGCCAAAACGTTATGACCATCTGCCTAATATGCTGTTGGTCCTCTGACCCGCCAAGGCATGGACTCGACAAGACCCCTGATGGCGTCTGGCACAAAGACATTTGCAGCAGATCCTTCACGTTCTGTAGGTTGCAAGGTGGAGCCACCGTGGAGGGATCTTGTTGGTCTAGCACATCCCACAGGTGCTCAGTTGGATTGAGATCTGGGTAATTCTTCATCATGTTCCTCAAACCATTCCTGAATAATGTGTGCAAGGTGGCAGGATGACTTATCCTGCTGAAAGAGGCCACTTCCACCAGGGAACACCATTGTTATATAGGGGTGTACCTGGTCTGCAACAACGTTTAACTACAATGGGTGGCACGTTTCAAATTTACATCCACATGAATGGCCGGACTAGTATTTCCCAGCAGGATATTTAGTTCAGAGCATCTCAGTCCATGCACCGGCTTGTCATCTCCCAAAGTGTATCTTGGTGCCATCACTTCTCCAGCTAAACGGCACATGTATACGGCCAATCATGTGATGTAAAAGAAAACTGGACTCATCAGATATGGTGAAGGTCATCAAGGTCCAGTTCCAATGCTTGCGTGATTGCCATCGTTTCCTTCCAACACCCTGTCGCCGGTTTGTGGTTTGCCCTGGCTTCCTCTGACCACTTTTGGTAAATTCTCAGCACTGCTAAACAGGTGCGACCTGAAGCTAGGAGCCTGTTGATTCAGCGCTTCTATGCTACAATTCAGTTCAATTCAAATTTATTTGTATAGCGCTTTTTACAATACATATTGTTTCAAAGCAGCTTTACAGAAAGTGCATTTCAGAAATGTACATAGAAAAATACAGTTAGTTAATCATGTATTAATTTAGGGCATAACATCACCGGCGTTGGGTCATCTCTTCACAGGCGTTGAGTCGTCTCTTCACAGGCGTTTAGTCATCTCATCGCAGGCGTTGGGGCATCTGAAGTCTCCGTCAGAGGCTGTATACAAACTGGAGCTGATGAACTCTACTTAGATGGGAAATAATCAGCATAGCTGCTGTTCATAATATTAATGCATTCGATCTGATTCAACAGTAGTATAAAAGGTAAACATTATGTGAATGCTTGGCTAAAGAGATGCGTCTTTAATCTAGTTTTAAACTGGGACAGCGAGTATGAGCCTCGAACAATATCAGGAAGGCTATTCCAGAGTTTAGGAGCTAAATGTGAGAACGCCCCCCCTCCTTTAGTGGATTGGAATTGACCAAAAGCCTCGAATTTAGTGATCTTAAAGAACGCGATGGATTGTAGAGCGATAGAATGTCCATTAAATACACAGGAGCTAGACCATTTAGGGCTTCAAAATAGGCAGGTTTTTCCAGCTTGTGTTCGAAAAAACATATAGACCCAGAGTCATGTGAAATATCTCTCATTCCTACTGGAGCTGTTGGATATGGGATGCTCCCCGCCCACGCTCAAAATGTAAATGATATGATTAGGGCTCGAATGTGTATGATTAGGGCCCAAAAGTGGTCTTGTCATTAATATTATGGTGCACTGTCACATTCATATATATATATATATATATATATATATATATATATATATATATATATATTGAGACCCATACATAAAACCCATACATAAGACACACATACAAGTACATAAAACCTGCCTTGGCTGGTTGAATTGTCATATACTATTAACCCCGACAGTGTCTGGGTTTATTAGTGTGATATGTTGATGATTACTGAATCTATACTGATGTATTATTTTAGACCTGACGGTGTCTAGTTTGATGTATACATGTTGGGATTACGGCTTGTTCTGTATGCTCAGGGGTCCTGAGCTGCAGTGGCAACCAGTTATTCAGTCAGGCGTTTTGCATAGCGTTCCCACTGTGTATAGCTACACGATGCGAAGTGACCGTTCGAAACGGAACTACTTGGTTACTCGCGTAACCTCAGTTCCCTGAGTTAAGCCCAATTTATACTTCTGCGTCGAACTCACGCCGTAGCTACGCCATAGGCTGTGTGTCGCGCGCATCCCCTTCGGCTTACCCTGATGTTCACCTCTCCAAAAATGTAACAATGCGTCAAGTCTACGCGTACCGCAAGTGCTGTGATTGGTCTGCTATAACCCCTCCCCGGGTTTCACATGCTCCCTCTGCATGTGTAATTGCACGTCAACGCGGAAAACGACGCAGAAATATACTGTAAATTAGCCTTTAGGGAACAAAGTATTGCGTTGCCGGCCGCATTCTAATAACTGGCTAGTTGACGCTTCAGTTGTATAAACCTGATATAATGGTGAATTCGGAGATTAATATACGCTGAGGCCACGCCCCTTGATGGGCTCTGACGTGTAATGACGTTGAGTGATCTCAGTGGTCGCACGTCAGAGGCGCACCATTGGATGTGCAGTTGGTACAGCACAGCCTATAGGTGAGCCAGAGGCTCAATTGGCTAGCTGTGCAGCTGCAAATGCGTTTTACATACAGGTTTCAGTAAATCGAATAAATTTCCCAATGCATATAGCTACGCAATATTACGTTTTCATAACTCAGGGAACTGAGGTTACATCAGTAACCAAGTAGTTTTGCCACCACAGGAATAACATATTCTACTGCACCACTGCTCTAACCCTTTTTTTTATCCCATTGATAGTTTATGATAGTCAAGTGTCCCATGTGTCGGTTTTCTTAATTTCTTCCATACACTCGACATGGTGTAAGTTCGCAAACATCCATGTCTAACGTTTAACAGCACTGGCTGTATAGTGTAGGCATCACTGTGAATGTAATACATTGATTTAAAGTTACACATCACTGCTTTGGGGATTTAAATTATACAGTGTAAATACAAATATTTCACTGATTTGCAGCTGGTCTAAAGGTAACTTCATGCTATGTTAATCAAGTGAATCGTGGGAGCAGTTTAGCTTTTTTTCTTTTTACTTTTTTTTATTTGCAAGAAGTTTGTAACATTTTTACATTTAAAAAAATGTAAATCATGCTGTTAAGGGGTATGTAAATAATAGCAGCATTAGGCACTGCTAAACACATTTCCTGTTGTTCCAGTGAACATTATACATCAGGTCAAAAATCATCAGGTTTAAAGTGAAAGATTCCATGGAAACCTCACCCTGAAGAAATTCCTGATTATGATTTGTTTGTTTTCATTTCAGGGTCAGAAAACTGAAGCGGAGAAGTTCTTTCTCAAGGCAATCGAGCTCGATCCTACTAAAGGAAACTGCTATATGCATTATGGTTGGTAATACTTTATTTTTAATCTCTCCTAAACATGCCCACATGGGCTGAAACCACATTAGCAGTTATTCAAAAATAATGAGGTCATATGATTCCAACCGTTGCATCTGCTCTAGCTATGCTGATGCAGTGAAATTCGTGAAATACTTTCACAATTTTACTTCACTCCGTTTTGGCCATAATTGTTCACATTTAACTCTTTAGCTTAGTCTTGTAATTGAGGTTACGTTTGGCTATTTCACAGCAAGATAAATGGTGCTTTGCAGGAAGTCATTGTTTGGGTGTTATCTGAAGCGTACCTCGCATACAGATGTTATTCCAGGGAGACGAAACCACCCACGCCTCAGCGAGCAAAGATAGATAATGAGACCTTATTTCTCTAAGGAAAAGGCATACGAGGGTTTATGTCTATCTGCATGAATGTGGCTTAGCCAAATTGTAGCCTATGGTCAATTTTTTTTTCAACACCTTTCTTGTTATTGTGCGTCACATCCTTATTTTGGTGTCGATTTTACATCGGTTTTTATATTAACTGTTTTTGATGAAAATACGAGTTTAATCGAATTGTTGCCCTGTCATGCTCTTCTTGAAATGGAAAGAGTGAGAAAAATAATATTTCAGTTTTAGTAAAATTAAAACATTTAAAAATATATATTCTGTGCAATGCATTGTTAATATTTTACACTATGCCATCATATGTTATCAACAGTATTTGTTTTAAATATACTGTTGTTTCAAATTGAATGTTAAAAAAAAAATTGGAATTATCTTTGGGATGCTATTTTTTATTTATTTTTTATCTTGGCATATCAGTCTTCCTAGTATCTTTTTTCCTCAAATCCTAGATTTTCACAGTTGACCTGTCTCTGGATGCTCTCATGTATGGATTTAGTCCAGAAAAACACAGCATCATTGGCTAACCCCAACAATGTGTTTTCCACTCAAAAGCTGCCAAGGCATCTGCGTAATATTATTTAGTACGTGTCTGATCAGGCATCTTTAGAACACGCACTATCCAAAGGCCACAAGGATGATCTTCTATTTCCTTCTATTGTTCTCTGGTGTATATCCACCGTCCTGGAGAACGTGCCGCCTGCTTTGTTTTTTCCGTTTTGCATGATTGACCACATTGTCATTTACCAAAGGAAGAAAGCTGATTTATGCCTGATTTTTGCAATAATTGTTTAAATCATTTGTATCATATACATGCATGTGTGTGTATTTATATATACAAAATAATTATATACAGCACACACAAATATATTATGTAAACACAGACTTTTATTTTGGAAGCAATTAATCGCAATTAATTTTTGCACAGCCCTAAAAAAAAACTGTTGTTTTTCTCTCTAAAACCCCTCCTTTCCTTAAGTGTACTCTGCTCTGATTGGTCAGATCTGTTGCCCAGTTTGTTGTGATTGGTCTAATGCTTACAGCGGATGTTGTAAACTAAACAGCCATTACCGTATCCCAATTTCAGCTCTGGAAGCTTTCTCGGCACTTGTATACACAGTGATATGAACTGCAACAATGGTGTTGGTTTTACCGTATCAGTTCAAGGCACGAGTCCAATAAGGAAACATTGAAAAAAGTAGCTGGTCAACCAGAGCATGACTTGAGCTGGACATTTCTATGTGGTAGACATTGTAAGATTGGAGTTACTGACGACTAGTTTCAGGCAGTTCAGAATCAGTTCTTTCTTTAAGGAGACATTAACACTTTGATCTTTGAAACTTTGCAGGATTTTTACATTCACAAAGAGCTATATTACTTTACATAAAAGGTAATACCTTGTAAAAAGCATAGTTGAGGCACTTTAAGCTTTCTTCCTTTGCATAACATCACTTCTTATGTTTCTACTTTGGTCCATTGCTATTTGGGAAAAAAATGTTTGGTTTTGGCCCTGCAGTGTTCAGGAGTGTGGAGTGCCGCTTTGCCAAAAAGCAACTAGTTGTTTATTCCACTTCGGTCTTGACCGATGCCTCTAGCAACGGAACTGCAGAGGTTTCAGATCCCAGTCGGTCCCCTTTCCACAACCTTACAGGAGTAAGCATTTAATTTGTCACGGAAACATGCCTATCGGATAAATCTCAATTGGACAAATGGTCTGTCAGATGGTTTGCGCGGCGTGCAGCGGCCTTGCTATCTCATGTTTCACAGAATCATTGAGAGGGCAGACCATACTATCCATCCCACAGCCAACGGAAATATTTCACATTTGTCTTTCTGAGGGAGTAAAAGCAAATATAAAATGAAATTTCCCTTTTCTTCCTCAGGTCAGTTTTTGCTGGAGGACTCGCGGCTTTTGGAGGCTGCCGAAATGGCAGAGAAAGCTGCCCAGTTGGACAGTGAAGAATTTGATGTGGTTTTCAGTGCAGCTCACATGCTCAGGTGAGAAGGACATGCTAAATCCATATAGACGACATTTTTTACTGATTAAAAACCCTGGACAAAGCATACATTTTTCTTGTAGCAGTCGGACTGGTTCGGTTTGGTTGAATTGGAATGACAGTATGTGTAATTTACTGAATTGTGTTACAAAGGAAATGTTGTTCCATCCAGGTCCCTTAAAGCTATCTGTTTCTCTCCAAGGTCAATAAAAACCTTGCCTAACGTTCAAGCGATTTTCTGTCTCATCTTGAAAAACTTTTTTACAAATGTTATATATATTTATACTTTAGTTTTGCATGAATTTCAGTTTATCTTAAAGGAGAACTCCGGTCAATTTTAACATTGAGCTCTTTTTTTTGTACATTTGGAGTGCTGTCAGTACATGAAAACGACAAAAATCGGTGTTGCCTACACCGTGTTATTCTCTTTTTAAAATCTGCACCCTGTTGACTTCAATGGGGCATGTTCTAAACCTGCTTTAGCCTCTTAACATCCTTGATTTGTCATTTTAAGTCCACAGCCATGTGAGTGGTGTTATTAAGAGTGACCACTGGTCAATCTGACTGCAGTAGATGTGAAATATATTAATAAAAATGATGTTAATTCAGTTTAAAGAGTGAATCGGAGTTTAAAGAGTCTTGTCAATTTGATTTTGAGTGGTGCACAACCCTATTTTCACAATGAATAATATTGGTCATGCGTTTTCTTTCCACTTTGATGTCCGATGTAAAATCTGGATCCTGAAGCAAAACTGTTTCGATGATGTTTTTCTATCTCTTTCCACCTAGCCATTTGTATGGATGCTCTGTTTCTATTGCAGTGCACCACAGGACATTTAATGGAAAGCCTGCATTAATGCCATCGCCTTGAGTTTTCTGTTGAATACACTTCTCATAATTACTACATGGAGTTCACATGGTTTAAAGTTACACACTTCCTAAAAAGTATTACAGCCCCTCAGTAGATTTTGCATGGGGCTTTATGCTACACAACCACTTGGTTGTTAATTGCTGTCTTAGACCATGTCCCCTGCCTTCATACTAGCCTGCGGTCCAACTTATTTGAAGATCAGGTTCCTGGTGTGTTTGTCTTGAAAGGACATGCAGAATGGTCTCAGTGGTGTCAGGAAAGTATGAGACCGCTTTAGATGTGCAGCGTTTTCTTATAGCTCTCATGGGCCCGTCTGCACCGACAAGTTTGCTTCCTTACTATCAGTTTCATTTTACTTGCCCTCTTCAAACGACCACTGTTTTTTCTAAACCCCAACCAAACTGTCACTGCCACTCTAAAGAAAAGCTATGTCAAATTTTGCTACTTCCAAGTTTTCCCAGTTGTTTGTTTGTCTGTGAAAGTGTCATATTTAGTCGAGACAATACATTATACATGCCGCACATTGCTTTTTGAGGGTTTTGATGCTTTAAGGGGATACATTTATAAATGCATCATCTTAGAGAGGATTATAGCATTCTGGAAGTCTTAACAGTCTACAAAACCCTCATTCAAGTTGCGTTTCTAAATTAATCTCTGTTTAGGCACCACTTTTGTAACAAATTCACCCTCGTTCCATAATAGATTTCATGACAATTGCTGTCTGATTTAGACAAATTGCTTTGTAGCATTTTTTTCCTCCATTGTTATCATAAACCATAAACCGTAGCTCTCCCTTTTTTTAGAAGATGTCTACAGCTTTGTACTATAAAAGGTTACCATTGAAGCGCTTATGTAATGCAGTAAAAAAAACAACCTTTGGAGGAAAATGCATATAATTCATAACTTGTTACCATCTAAGTTACAAGCCACGAATTTTTTTTATGCTTTTTCTCCACCACTTTGGAATGATATAATGAGCAGATTGCGGTGGGATGGAGGAACAGTTTTGGTTACCAGATATTAAACTTTTTTTTATTGTGTTTTGGGGGTTTAGATCTGAACTAGGGAGTTCAAGTGGATGCTGTCTTTTAGATTTTCACCATATATTACAGTTGTGGAATGTGGTCATAGAGTCCAATCTTAATACCGTTGGGTTTTGACTCTGTTGAGAGCGGTCACTTTCCAACTGATGATTAAAAGGGAATTCTTTGTCCCTGCAGACAATTGTGGTTATGATCAAGCTATGGTTTATTGTGTGAATGTGAAAATTACACTGACTCGTCATAGGAGGAAAGGACTGTAAAGCAGAATTGGGGATGATGAACAGTAACACATGGTTCTGCTTTAAATGCTTAAGTTCACTGTTGAGAACCGGTCATCCCATAGATGTTTGTGTAACTTTTTTTTTTTTATGTAACTTTTTTTATCTTTAGATTTTAAATCATTTTTACCCTTGTGTTCAAGAAAGGTCAGGCCATTAGGGAAAATTCAAGGTTTAAGGTTTAACAAATCATTAATTTTTCAAAACGCATTGCCGGCATCTAAATGAGAGGTTTTAAATAGTTTAAATGAAGGCAGATGCATATTTTAAGACTCATTTATACTGCATAAGAAAGCAACCACAGTGCAGAAGTCGTCGTTTTTTTATAATGGCCAATGTACTAAGGTGATATTTGTAAATATAGTCATACAAAAAAAAATTATTTTATTTATTACAGAAGCCAACTAGACATCATCGTAATTTAAAACCATTGACCACAGTAATTTAAAACCACTAATGATTATAAGGAAATTAAAACTACTGATCTATATTTGCTGTTTTCAGTCATTTGTAACATGAGCAACAGAGCATGTGTCTGAAATGCTGCATATACCCTCTCAGCTTTACTTGTAGAAATTTCATCCTGAGTGGTATATTAATGCCATGTCTTTATTCATCTTCTTCTCTCTAATGTCAAGGTTGGAACTGGAATGTTTTCCACAGACATCATTTATCTATCATCTCATTGCTTGAATGTTTCAAGTACAGCCCATCGTATTTTTGTCTTAATAAAAATCTATTTCTTGAAACATTTAACCTTAGCTCTTTTCGGCAAGAACAGTTTGTTTGAGGGTCTATAAAACTGGGCGGAATAAGAAAAGCGGTCTTCTATCATTAATCTTCGGCTCTTTCATCATTACAACCCAGTCTGTCTTTGGCTGACGGTCATTGTCTGCATATTGAACTCACTTCGCGAAGAAGTTATTGCTACCAGCAGGTACAAGTAGCTAGAAGATGCATATGGGGTGTTTTTACATAGAAAAAAACAAACCTTTAGGTTGTAAAGAATCTAAAGATCTTCAAAGAGCATCCAGTAGGTTGTAGGTCATGACCTGAGAAATAAGGGCACTTTTCTCTGCTCAAAAATTGTGAAGTCGGGCAGTTTTATATCCCTATTTGGCTCAGTTTTTCCGTGGCAGTAAAGTTGGTCAACAAATGGTCCCTGGTTTGATGGCCAGCAATAAACCTCTGCGACAGGATGAAGTAACTCGCAATGTTTATGTGCTCTTTCAGGCAAGCCAGCCTCAATGATGCTGCTGAGAAGTACTACGGACAAGCAGCCAGCCTGAGACCCAATGTAAGTAACCATGCAGTCCTGGTCATATTGTGGTTGACTTTAATTGATTAGTGTGACTCAAATGCTCCCCATTAGTTGTGTCAGTGACCAACTGTACAAGCTCTGCTGGCGGTTTTGGCGTTTGTTTTCACAGCATCAAACTTTAAAGAGATGCGGTGTGTCCGAAACGTGCACTGTGAGGTTTGCAAAACACACAGATGTTTGATTTCTTTGGAATATGTGAATGCGTTTGATGTTTAGTGTGCAGCTGCCTGAAAGGAAGTTTCCTTGTAAACCAAACAGAAGTGTAAAATGGAAAAAATGGAAAGGTGAGGATGACTTTTATTATAGACAAAAGAAACAAAAACCTAGGAAACCGGCTCTTTACAACAATGGTGGAGTAAGTTATCATACAGTTAATTTATAAAACAGTATCATTGGTATTAATTATATATTTAAAAAAAGCTTTGTCTGAGTGATGGTTATGTTTGCTTTAGGGCTGTCAAACGATTAATCGTGATTAATCGCATCCAAAATAAAAGTTTGTGTTTACATAATATATTTGGGTGCACTGTGTATAATTATTTTATATATAAATACACACACATGCTTGTATATATTTAAGAAATATTTTCATGTATATACTGTATATAGATTTATATATAATTTCTATTATATATAAATGTAAATATTTTATATATAAATGATATTTTTGTCTTAAATATACATGCATGTGTGTGTATTTATATTTATACAAAATAATTATATGCAGTGCACCCACATATATTATGTAAACACAAACTTTTATTTTGATGCGATTAATCATGATTAACCGATTGACAGCCCAAGTTTGCTTCTATTCATTCTTTGCATAACTTTATTTTATTTGCTGTACTTTATATTTTCTAGCTGTGTAGGAGAAAAAAATATATATTTTGGTATAAAATGTTAACATTATTTTTTTTTAAGTAAAAAAATGACACCTTTATTTCAGTATTGTACAGTGTCTGGACTTTTGCACTGTCTTTAGGGATGTTTGTCTCCTTAGCAGCTGTTTCAACAAAGTTCCCAAGATCCTTTCCACATCTGGTACTGCTGATGCTGTGACTGCATGGCGTGATAGTGTTGTGAGGGATACTGTGCGGTTAGAGTGTAGGATGAAGAGGAAGGAAAGAGGTCAGGAAACTTCTGGAGGCCACAGCGGGGCAGATTCCCCTCCACTGCCTCTATATTGTGGTGAACAATCAAACGTTACACCCTTCTCAAAAGTATACAAACACAAATATGGACATATAAGAGTTGGCCTGACTTTTAAGTAATAATGATAATAATATTTTATTTATAACGCACTTTTCATTCCGAAGAATCTCAAAGTGCTACACAAGTCCATTTTGCTTACTTACATTTTATTGATGCATAAAATGAAGATGTTTTCACATTGATACCAGACTTACCATTTGTTAAGGATATATATTGATATTTTAAAAAATCCACTTTTTTTTATTAATCGTTTTGGCTTAAAATAAAATGGATATTAGATAAGTAACTTTCATTAAATAATTGAATTGAATTAACTGGATAATACCTTTGCAATTTAAACCCATGTATGTATTAATATATTATATATACTGTATATATATATATATATATGTATATTAATCATACAATGATGCAAGTTTTTGGTCATATCAAACCCACATTTTAAATGCATACACTTTAAAAGCTGTCTGTTAAAATAGTCAGTGAAATGTACGGTTTTAATATGAAGGAATTTCTGGTTGCATTCTAATTTAAGGTGTCCTTGTTTCAGTGTAATTATACATTTAAGTAGGCCTACTGAGTAAAATTAATTAACTAAATGTTAAAGGGTTAGGGTTAGATTAGGGTTTGGTTTATGGTTAGTTGTAATTATGCATCATTTATTAACTACATGTAACAAGGGCACTAAAATAGTGTTACAGAATGTTTGTATTGATTTTACACAGATGTTTTACCCATATAATTACACATTATATTATGTTTTAGGGTTAAAGGAAATGTTCTTAAACTCAGCAGAAAATTACTGGTACATTTTTTCCTACAGTGTACTTGGATACTTGGAGTTATAGTGAAAAAGTTGCTGAATATGTCTTTGAATATATTTGGTTTTGAGAGGAAGGTATACGTGTCACCTGAGTGCAGTTAATGCCACAGTTTGCAGTTCATTTGTCCCTCAGTCTTGTTTTGAGGTTTGACTTCTCTGTGTTGGGTCAAATAGTGCTAATATATTACTTACACGTTGTGTAATTTTACAACGATCGTCTCTTTCTACTTTTCCGTGTGGAAAACCATGGCAGCTGGCCTAAAAAGTCTGTTAGTGTAAGTTTTACTCTCGTGAGAGTAAGATAATATACAACTCTTTCCCTTCAGAGGTGGCAAGTGAAGCATGTCCAGAAATGGTTTTGTATTAAATCACAGTAACTTATTATATATTTTAGACATTAAAACATTTATTTGTGTTGAAATTTTGGTGCTGCGACAAATGTGTTTTTGGATGTCCATGTGAGAACTCATGGTATGCTGGCTTTAGTCGAGGTTCATTTTGATTTATGTATCTATTGAAATCTCCTTATGTGAGAAGAATTGGCATAGACAACATATTGTTTCCATTGAAGCCTGATGCATTCAACATCACTCATGTAACCCTGACATAAGTAAAATAGATGATGTGCATCCAGAAGAGTTATAGACTGTGGAATAACAGAGTTTCTGGTTAAATTTATGGACATGTGAACCTGAAAACATTTCCAAAATGCCAAAGATTCGCTATAACCTTGGTTTGTTTAGAATGAGCATGCAAAAAATAATATTTGCTTCCATAAGATGCAGTCACATTCGTGAAATTTTGCATGCCAAAAAAGGTCCATTTTAAACAGTATGAAGTCATTTTTTAAACCAAACAACTTGAATGAGTACAATCTTCCTGGTGAAATATTTCATCCTCAGACTCCCGATCGCACAAATTCCTATTAAAATTGCAAATTTTTGCCTAGCAATGGTAAATGTGACCACTTTTAAAGTGACTTTTTCCTTAAACTGGTGTTTTGTTTTGTTTTTCCCCCCAAAGTATCCCGCAGCCCTCATGAACCTTGGAGCTATTCTCCATCTCAATGGCAAACTCCAAGAAGCGGAGGCCAATTACCTGCGAGCCTTGCAGCTGAAACCGGATGATACCATCACTCAGTCCAACCTGCGAAAACTGTGGAATATCATGGAAAAACAAGGCTTAAGGACCATGGCTCCTTGACTTGGACACATTTGATCTGACAGCTTCTCTGAAGTTGTAAAGGAAATGTTCTCTCTGAGCTCTCAGTAATGAGGTAATTGACATCCTAGGGCTGACAAAGAACATCTTCAAAACCTGGGTTACCCATGGGATGCTTAAGCATGCGAGAGCGGCTTCGTCTGGTAAAACTGAGACATTCTGGAACAATCTAGAACTGCGGAGCTCTTCAGACGTGTCGGGAGTCCTTAACTTGAAGTGGCCCATAGATGCATACTTGAAGTCTCATGATAGATTAGATGTTAATTAGTTAGTCAATGCTTAATAGTCTTGAAGGGCAATATTTGCCCTGGGACTGAGAAGGAATTGAGAGTGCTACAACCCCCATGAGGCTATACTCTGCATGTACAGTACATTTAAATGTCATTTCTCTATTCATATGATTGGAATCATTAATATTTAATGAGCACATCATGGCTGACAGAAACGCCTGGAGGCAAAAAAACGATAATATCTTCTAAAAATCATCAAAATAATTAGGTAAATAATTAGCCAAACATGTCATATGTCTTTCTAACTGTAAAAACAAACGCCAATTGTCAATGATTGATTTGTGAGGTTGTAGACTTAGGGTGTGTTCACACTTTTAGTTTGTTTCTCTTGGTTCTTTTGGTCTGGATCAAAAAAAAGGAAAATAATTCATTTAGTGTACCAGAGTTCGTTTTAATCTAACCAAACCTGCCAAGTGTGTACACACCCTTAATGACACTGTACATATGAGCACAGATAATATGTGAAGTTTGGTTTGGGATGTAGAATTCTTAGCGAATGCTTTTAAACGTTCCATCAACGTTTTGTCAATCCAGACATGATGACATGCCCACAACACAAGATAACTAGTGGATTGGTAACTTCTGGGATTAAGAAATTGGATCCATTTGCTGCATATCGCCGAAAATGATAGGCACATTCGATAAGCTATGTAGCCTGAGGGAAATTAGCGAATTGAATTCGCAAATTTAGCCTCAATTTGCATAAAACTGTTGTGTAACAGATATATTCAGCGGATTTGATTTCCTAGTTGCGTTACTAATACAAATTTCGGATGAAAAATGTTAATTTGTTAGAATATCACATTTAGCAGAGTGAGTTTATTCACAGTTACACCACCATTCAAAAGTTTGGGGACAGTCTTTTTTTTTCATTTAAAGTGAGCGTAAAGACGTTTTTAATGTTACAAGTGATTTCAAATTAGGGCTGCAACAACTAATCGATAAAATCGATTATAATCGATTATGAAAACGAATGTCATTATCGATTAGTTGGTCTGATTACGTCACAGAGATTGTTTATATGCTACCGCATGCTACATGCGCCACACACACAAGGTCTCTCTCCCTCGTCGCGCAACACGGACGGTTTTTGAACTAATTTGCTAAACTAATGTTTTTTTTTTTCACTAAATGTTCCGATTTTATACAATCATTGTGCACTTGTGATTTTTCTAGGCTACGTTTTGCTGAGTTATCCACTAATCTAGTTTACAATAGCATTTTTGTCATAGGTTATGGTCATGTATGCTGTTGTTTTTTTTATTTGTTGTTTTTCTTTAATTAGAAATTTAAGTAATTTAAGTTTTCCTTAAGTAGATTGTTTAACACACAAAGAGTGATTATCAGATCATCGAAGCCTCGTCCTGCTCGCCAAAACCTGATTTATTTAGTTATAATAAACAAAAAAATTAATAGATTTTTTATCCGATTTATAGATTAATCAAAAAAATAATCGGCCGATTAATCGATTATCAAAATAATCGTTAGTTGCAGCCCTATTTCAAATAAATGCTGTTCTTCTGAACTTAAGCATGCGACACTAAAGATTCAGCTTTTCACAGAAATAAATTATATTTTAAAATAAATAACACTTATTTTAAATTGTAAAAATATTCACAGTATTACTGTTTTTACTGTATTTTGATCAAATCAAATGTGTCCTTTGTGCTTAAGAGACTTCTGTCAAAAAATATACTTAAAAAATCCCAAACTTTTGAACGGTAGTGTTTATTAGATCTGAACATTAGGACCATGGACATCGATTAGTTTAGCTGGTAATGTCCTTTTGACTGAATTGAAATGCAAAGTTTTGACTGGTAACTCCTAACCAAATACAGATACGTTTACTTGCTGCATCTAACAAAATACAGCCATAGTTTTGTAAGGGATATATGTGTTTATATGTATTGTTGGTTTATTATTTTCTTCTATGTTTGAGTGTATAGATGGAGCCTAATATATAAAATGACACATTACACAGTTTGATGTTGTTGCTCAAACAGAAAACGATGAGCCAGAATCACAATATGCGAATTACTTGTTTAGTTCATTCAGCGATTACTTTGTTTCATGATGGTCTTTATTCCGTGCATGTTCCTGATCTTTAACTTGGTGCTCTCATTTGGTGATCCCAACTATTTTTATGAAGGATTTTTGTAATATGAGCCTCTCCATTATTTCAAAGAATTCTGACACAAAAATGAATCTTCTCGCCCCAAAACCCAAATGACCTACTTTCTTTCAGTGAAACTCAAGAAAAACAAATGTGGAAAAAAAAAATGTTTCTTTTCCATGCTATTACAATGGAGTTTCAAAAAAAAAAGATGAATAAGAGTGGTCCATACGACTCATGCGCTATATTCATATGATAGCTTTGTGTCAGGAACGAATATAGGAACGTTATATAAACCACTTTTATGATTATAGTTCCTATTCATTGCAACCGAATGTATTTGTTATGACATAAGGGTGAATAAACAACAGAATGTTCATTTATTGGTAAACTAGCCCTTTAAAGTCCTAACAAATGCCATGTCGGACAGCTGAGTCAGTATTAACTTATTCCTTTTTGTGTTGTCTTGATGGAAAAAAAAAAAAACCAGCTGGCTCTGTGTTATGTTAAAGTGTATTAAAGATTTCTGATTCAAGATGCCCTTTTTTTATAACACATTTTTGCGCTGAACTGATTCATCCATTGTTTCATTGAGATTCATTGTGTGTAAAGGGAGCATTTTAAAGGGAATAAACCCAGAATTTGTCATGCATTCATCTTGATGGTCTCTAAGACGATTGTGTTTCTTCACATTTCTCTACTTCTGTTGTCGTCTTTTTCCTTCCAAAATTACTAACCTCAAAGGCAAATAATAACTCGATACAGTCTGATCTTTCTAATATTAATGAAAATTAGACCGATTAGGGAAAAAAAAAATTATATAGAAGATATTGTTGGACATCATGTTTATATAAATATATATATATATATATATAGCAGAGTAGCATAAGATTGGAATAACAACCCTTCCATGTTGTCAAAGGATGTGCAGTCCGCATTACCATAGTAAACCATTTGTATTTTTATTCGTCTGTCGTAACGTGATTGTGTCTTGTCTGTCCTCCACAGTGTAAATTATCTGAGTAGTTTCTAGTGGTACCGGTTGTGACTGCATCAATTCTGTGCTGTTTTTAGCTGTACCCAGTGTGTCTGTCAAGATGAGTTTTCAAATGGATTCACACAATGCAGACTTACACGACTGAGACACCTGCACCCGTAGGCGTGTGTTTGTCTTTCCTCAGGGATTTTGAAAGGTGGTGATATCGCGGTTGGTGTTCTCAGAGCAGAGAATGAGTTTACTCAATAAAAGAAGAAAAAAAATATTTTTTGGAACAGTGCATTTGTATAAATGATCAAGATTTGTAGCCTTTCTTCTGTTTTTTGTATAAAGACTGACGTATGTGCCAGATAAGACTTTTCCCTATGTCACGTTTTTTTCCACAATAAAGTACCCGGTGTTCTGCTCTCTTCTCCAGACTCTATATCGTTGGAATACAAACATTTCAAAAGTTTGTGATCCATTCCCTTTCATCTTGTTTTCTTTATCGTCATTTAACTCAAATGTTGTGCTCCGGTAATGCTTTGAACAATGGCTATAACAGATAGCGTTAAGTGTTCTGAATATTATAGATGTATTCTTTAGGGTTACATAAATACTTTAAAACAGAACCAATACATCATTGTTTCCATAGAAACCAGTCTTCAAGTAGGTTTCTTAATTTTTTTTCTCTTTTTTTTTTTTGCTTTACTTTAGTTAATGCATTAGTTATCACAGTTTACAGTATTTATTAACCTAGCTTCATGTTAATTTATAAGTGTATTTTTGATGATCATTTCATCAATGTATCAATATGTAGAAATTTGCCTACATATTGTAAAAAATACATAGTGCCTAAATACATATTTTTACATATTGCCTACAATATGAAAAAAAAAATATCCTACAATATATTATTATTTTACAATACATGCTGTAAAACAGTTCATTGTTAGTTTATGGTATTTAATTAGCCGAACTGATGTATACAATTTTAACCTTTATTGTTAGGTGTTACAGACCTAAAGACTTTAAAATGATACAAAATATTTATATTTTTTGCCATTTGGAAAATATTAATGTATTAAGAATATTAATCAGCACAAATTATTTCAACATTGATAATAATAAGAAAAGTTTCTTGTGCTTAAAATCAGCATATTTGAAATGATTTCTGAAGGACCATGTGACACTGAAGACTGAAAATTCAGCTTTGCATCACAGGAATAAATTACAGAAATTATAGAAAACAGTTATTTTAAATTTTAATAATAGTTCACAACATGACTGTTTTTGCTATATTTTTGTATTGACAAAAAAACAATTCAATAACATTTTAATATTGATGTTTCAGCTTGTTCTGTCACTTCTTTATTTTTTTATTTTTTTTGTTTGCACACATTTCACTGTTATTAATGCTTTTACATATAATGTTACAGGTTCTTTCAGAACTTTATTTAACTGTTGCTTTTCTAAGCCATCAAACTTATGATTTTACCTTTATTGTGAATGATGGACCCAAGACTTTTACAAAGCCAGTTACCTTTTTTGAAAATGCGAAGATCTAATTAGAAGTTTGACTTGCAAATGTATTAAATGCGTCATTCATATGTGAGCATTTGGTCTTGTGGCACAATAATGTAATGTAAACATTGACATTCACATCTGGGACGCGTGTTTCGCCCCTCCTCCACACACACTATCCTGTTGACAGCCAGAAGCCTTCCACCCTGGAAATGAGAAACTGAGCCATGTGTTGTATCTCACATGTTCTTCTCCATGGCCCTTTCTCACGTCTGATCGCACTATGGGGCCTTGTTGATTTAAAATGTGTAAGGCGTTTGTGTGCGTGTCCGCTACATGTTTCTCATCTCCTTTACAAAACACAGGTGTCTCGTATCTCCGCTAGCGACAGTCAGACAGAAGACTGGTGTGAAAAGTGCTTCAACTTAAACAGTATAGTCTTTGAACTGCACAACTCTGTTTTCTTACGCATTGCTGTTCTTTCCTGGATTTAAGGATTTTTCCAGAAAGCCAATGATGTATACCTTGAGGTAGCCTACTTCACAATTCTCTCAATCCTTCAGTAGTCTTGCTCCATGTTCTCAAGCCAAAAAATATATATATATGGACATAGTCTGCAACTCAGTAAGGCTGTGGTGTTTAAAGGGGAGATGAACTGAGAAATTAAATTTCCCTTGAGCTTTTGACATCTAAGAAGTCATCGTATTATAAGAATGTCCTGTAAGTTTCAGAACTGAAAACGTCCTTGTTAGTCCAATAAAAGCTTTTATTGACACCAGCCTCAGCAAACGACTCATTTTTAAAAGTGGGGAACTATGACGTCAAAGAGGAAAAAACACCACCCCCGCAGAAGAAGATCAACGCCTACTTCAACACGGCCGGTTTAGCCCCGCCCACCGATTCGCGCATTACACGCATAGCTAAATAACA